CCCCCCCCCCCCCGGCTTCTACCCAGCCATTGTTCCAGCTGCTGCTGCTCTGGGGTTTCTAGGCTCCCCTTCCCTCAGCTTTGGCTTTCTGCTCCCACTCTGGAGAGCAGAGCAGTGCAGCCCACAGTGCTGGGGGAGCCTGTGGCTTGGTACAGCAAGAATGCTGAGGGGCTGTCTGGGCTGGCAGTGCAGTGGTTGTATGGGCCACATATAGCATGGGAGAGAAGGAGAGGCTGCTTACATGGATGGAGGAGCATGGAGTGTGGCCTGAGGACTGGTGGCTTGCATTAGTGCAGCCATTGCTGGTGCAAACTGCACCATCTTCAACCCACAGCTGCTTAGAAGTTGGAGAGCCCTACTTATGTCATCTATGATTCTAAATATGATGATATTTTATATATGTAAGGGATACATCACTATGTGCTTACAGTTGTCTTATTGGATCATTTTTAGGGACCTACTCAAATCATGGCAAGATAAAGGATTTTTCACTGCCCGCTACTGGTGTGCAGAGCCAGTTTTACAGGCATTTCGTAGTAGCTCCACCCCTTGCCACTGATTAGCAGAGGGGTCCTGGCCTCCCCTTCCTTTGCTGCTGATTGTCCAAAAGGCAACAAACATATACTTAAATAGAGAATTCCATGGGAATATCATATAGATTACCATCTTATTATAGATCCAAATATTACATTTAAACCTTTGTTTTGTGGTAAGTTTGTTTTTTTTTGAAGGGGGTGGAGGTTGTCCATTCCATGAAAAATTGCAGCCAATGCCATTTTTTGTGAAGACTGCCATTTTTCATGAAGATCACCATTTTTCTCAGCTTCTGCGAAAACCACAAAGCCATAATTTAAGTAGGCCCCTACTTGTATTAGTGTTCAGAAGCAAGGTGGTTCTAAGATACAAAATATTGTACAGTAGATGGAAGCACAAACAGAACAATCCTCACAGGGAAAGTTTCCAAAAAGACATTCACAAAGGAAAAATATTGTAACCCTGTACAGCTGCTTTGGCAAAAGCCAACAAAAAACTCTGCATTCTGTATTCATTTGAATCCCTATTTTAGTATGACTAACAATTTTTTAAAAGAAAATTTTATTTAAGTTTCAGGACAGGATATTTCAAAACTGAAGATTATATTTTAATGAGATTTCCCTTCAATCACAATTTTCTTCAGTGACAGTAACTTTAATATTAATACAATCATGAAGTAAGCTTTCCTAAAAGGAAAAAGCAGCTAGCTGAATAGGATTTAGTTGATTTAAATAGTTATGGCTGAAGTGCATTAGGCTGGCTATCTATTATTTATATTAATGATATCCTTGTTAAATGCAAAACAGTATCTTAATGCAATGTTATGGTTAAGAGTTTAAATGAATAAGTTATTGTTCCCACAGCAACAATAACTTTGTCCTTTAGTATCTGCATACTACTTTCTATTAATGTGTATGCATTATCATCATAAAGTAATGCAAAAGTACACATGCACAAAAGGGCTAACTTTATGTAGAGTTAATCTAGAAACCATAATTTGGAATTGACCTAGTTATATTTATGTAAATTTAAAATAAAATAAAATATATTTTTTTAGAAAAGGAAAAAAAGCCTAATAACTGATCACACTGCAAAACAAATATTACATGCATTTATTTAAATGTACTCACTTACTGTGTTCTTCTGAATTCCTATATACATACATTTCATAGACATTAGGGCTGGAAGGGAACTTGGAAGATCTTCGAGTCCAGCCCCCTGCCCCAGGGGCAGGAAGTCAGCAGGGGTCATAGGATCCCAGCAAGATAAACATCCAAATTGCTCTTGAAGGCGTTGAAAGTAGGTGCTTGAACCACGTCCGGTGGCAGTCTATTCTAGACCTTGGGGGCTCGGACAGTAAAGAAGTTCTTCCTTATGTCCAGCCTGAAACAGTCCTGGAGGAGTTTGTGACTATTCAACCTTATCATCCCTTGGGGCACCCTGACGAACAGATGTTCCCCCAGATCCTGGTGAGTACCCCTTATAAACTTATAGGCAGCCATCAGATCACCCCTGAGCCTGCGCTTTTCCAGGCTGAAGAGTCCCATGGCTCTCAGCCTCTCATCATAAGGTCTGTTTTCCTGACCTCTGACCATGCGTGTAGCTCTCCTCTGGACTCTCTCAAACTTCTCCACATCCTTTTTGA